GGGTACGTATCGGGTATGTAGGGTAGATGGGGTTTAGGTTTTAGCTCTCAGGACTGCTTGCCTGAAGCTTTTGTTCAACGTTGTGCTAAAGTGTGTTGGGGAAAAAAGCCGTTGTGTACGTTTTACTCATGCCCGTCGTTCATCATCGTCATCATTTGTATGAGCCTATTACCCAAGAATGCGCAGCATGTTCTTGGCCAAGTGCCTGGCGTTCAGGGCAATTTTCATTTATGCTGCATGTCGCCTCTACGGCAACATGAGAGACCATCACCAACATCTCAAGGAACAGCCAGAATACGGAGAGATCTTCAGCGATCATCACTGGTTATGACTATCACAATCTGTGGCTCCAGCCGCTGCATCTGGATATTCATGTCGCTGCCGCAGATTGCCGCAGGCTCAGGCGATTCGCAAGCCGACAACCAAGCCTTCGCCACGAAATTTTCGTCTGGATCTTGCTCACCATACCATCCCATACTGCTGATGGATGAAATCTTGCGCCACTTCAAGTCCTTACAGTCCTAGGACGGAACTCCGTTAATTGAGGGACCCTACATAGGTGGTGCAAGATTTCCTCCATCAACAGTATGAAGAAAGTAAGCTTACCTTGGTTCAGCCACCAAGAAACTTCAAACTCCCAGTATAGTCGTATGTCCCAAGATAGCCGGTGCAAAGCCTTATCTAGTTCGCGGGTAGCCCCTTAGAGGACCTTTGCACGCAGCGGGGGACGTGTTGATAGGGCGATATGGGGGTTTTCCCAAAACTAAGGGTGCCTTTCTGTGAGTCCCACAAATAAGGATTGAGGTATGTTGGGGTCCCCCTATTTGGGGAAAAAGCCCTGAACCCTGCACCCTAAACGACACGCGCATCGCACAGCAGTGCAGGCCCGGCAATGAATGTCCTGGACAGGACATTCTTTGCCGTGCCTGCACTGCTGTGCGATGCGCGCGTCTAAACCCTATGTTCCGCTGAGGTTTAGCTTCCCTCTCCTGTGCGAGGCGCTTTCGTTCTCATCCTCTCTAGGTGCCGCTTGCCGTTCCATTAGATGATTCCCTCTCTCCAAAACATCAACAACCCCTTCAGGGTGCAGGGTTAAGTTGTGGAACATGCCCAGTATGGTTTTTCTAAAAAAGAACATGTAGAGGACATGTAAGGTTAGGGGGGGTTGAGCGTTTAACATTAGGGTCAGGGGATTAGACGACCTACAGGTGGTTGGTGGGGAAGTAAAGAATGGAAAAGAACATGCAATAAACCCTAAGCCGGCCTATTATGGTGTTTATCCAAGCACGGTACAATTGTGAAAGTGGTGCCACAACAGGTTTCAGAGAGACGCTGGGCCGTTCTCATTGGTGCAGATGGCAAAGTCGAAAAGCTGCTCAGACTGGTCAGATTCCCTTATTCTAGACACGACGAACTCAGGAATGGACGTAGCATTTCGGGTGGGGTCAAGTTCCAAGATCCAAGGAACTTTGTAGGATAATATGAAACATGTCTGCTTTGCGGCTGAGGTTCTGGAACTCGGTGGCTTCCTTGGTGGGTGCAGGAGCCATCAGTAAGATTTATTACATGTTCTTTGAATCCTCCTGTCTCTGGTCGTAACATTGGGCCGGTCCTGCATCAATGTATAAGAAAGTAAGTACGAGAGGTGTACGGGGGCTGGAGTTTCACGCGTGTGCAGCCCTTAAGGTTGCTGCGGCTGACATGTTGTAAGGTGGCCGCTCGCACTTTCCCGCAGACTGCGCTGGGCGAGATCTAGCCGAGCAGCTTGTGAGACAACAGCTGTTCCGATCCTTGCCCAGTTCCTGGAAAGCCAAGTCGCCGTGTTCTTGAATGCCCGCTACCAATTTCTTACAACAACTTTGCTTGGCTTTCCAGGCGGGCACCAGGTTTGTCAACCAAAATTGAGCTCGGCTCAAGTGGTGCTGAGTGACATGCATCGGCTTCTGCGGTCTGAGTGATTGTCTCGCTGCGGCACCTGCAATGGAAAATTGCTGCGAACCTTGTTCCAAGTGTTGACATCAAGCCAGTAGGAACAGTCGTATGATTTTCAGGTCTGCTGCAAGCCGTGCCAGCGAAGCAGGATGTAGACGGCAGCTGATGCATGTCCTCTCAAATTCTAGCACATGTGCCGACGGCAGCTTGCCCTTTACAGCTCTTTATCCTTCTGTGCCATATGAAGGCGGAAGGCAGATTGACTATATCATGCCAAAGGAAAACAAGGTTCTGAGCTTGCCACCTCCGCGCCACGCTACTTACTGGTGGTTGGTAGTGCGCGAAGAAATTGGACACAGGCGACTGCTACAGGGCTTCGTCCCTCCTGCACTTACTAGCCACCAGTAAGGTTGGCTGCTGGCAGAGCGCTTCAGGTGTTGCATACAGGCTTCCTGAGTTTAGTATCCTTGGATGAGAAGCTCTTGGGTGACGCATGGGCTTCCATTGAGACCAAAAGGTTTGGATATGTATGCCAGCTGTCATTCTCTTAGAGTGACGGGCTGATTAGGATGCTTAAGTTATGTGGGTGAGAGTGTTGCCTTCACGTTTGGCCTCATGCACATGCTGCAGCGCTCAGCCTCCAAAGGCTTGCCTTTTTAGGATGCAGAGCTTGCAGACAGGCCACATTGCCTGGGCGCAGCACTAAGCCCAAGCGCGTTGAAGTAAAGAACGCTGTTACCAAACTTTTCAAAGTCGGCTGGACATCAGAAAGTGGCGCAGCCATAAATCCATAATTACCTCGCCGCTAGCTCAGCGTCCGCCATGCCGGCACTTCCAGGAGATGACAGCCTGACGGCTGTTCAGCTTTCTGTCTGTTTGGCTAGTAATAGTAGGGAAGGGAGAGATGGAGGGATGGAGAGAAGAAGGAGAAAAGTGGAAGAGCCGTACAAGCATGGAAACAGAGTCGGAAGAGAGAGCAGCAGGAGCTATTTTTTTTATTCTTGAATTCATGGTAGTTTCCCAAATCAGGGGAGCCAAATATAGACCCCCAAAATGGTACCCCTCATTTGGAAAACCCTAATCCCTACTACCTAAAGCCTAGAGAGCCCTTCAGAACATCTATATTATCCTTAAATCCAATTTTAAAAGTAGAAATTAGCCAGGTTTTCTGTCCTGACAAATGGACTGCTTCTGCTGGTCTCCTTTGGTGCATTTGAGCTCCTGCTCAGGAGACTTGCTCCGGAAAACCCTAGGTGGACACCGCTTAAAACCTATACCATCCTAAACCTTAACCCTAAACCCGATCCTTAAACCTAAACCCACTAGGTTTTTATCTATAGTCTGCCTAACTGAATTTCAAAACTACGGGTAGCTGTCCCGCAGGTTCCTTTGCTGGCCACCACCAGCCTTCGGTCAGTCTTAGTATAATATAGGGTTTAGGGTTTATAGTGCATTGGGGTCATATAGGGATAATGGAAAAGAAATGGAAACTATTGTATGATATTGGGGTCATATAGGGGTAATGAAACTACTATATTATATTGGGATTACATATTGCATGAGATCTACCTGTTTTCGAGTACCCCAGAAAGCAACACAAATAAGCAAGCAGCAGGTGTAATCTTTCCTAGAGCCCAAAGAGGTGCTATTCGTAGACTCCAGGACCCAAAAAGAGATCTGCTTGTAGACTTAGACCCTAAACCCTAAGCCC